TCAGAAACTCTTTTCATTTACAGCCCAAAGTTTTGTCCCATCTTTTCAAAATAAAATTCTTTGAGGAATCTTTCATTATATTAACTTGAGTTATTTTAGTTGGGTTGTCAGCCTATAGAGAAGTTCTTTCTCTTTATCTGAAAAGGGGTAGGAGGAATTTTGTGAGTTTTGTTTTTAGTTTGTACGAATAATTACTTAATAATTGTGAGTGACATTATATTTAATTTACAGCTGCAGTGGCAAGAAAAGCAGGAGAACCACTGGTAATAGAGGAAGTGATTGTGGCTCCACCTAAAGCCCGTGAAGTTCGTTTAAAAATTATTTGTACTTCTCTCTGTCACAGTGACTTTACCTTCTGGAAATTGAAAGTATGCAATTTTATGAGAATTAAAGCCACAGAAATTTTATCTTTAACGTACTTTTGAATCATCTGTAATATCTTGTCTTCCTTTAGGAATTTCCTGCATGCTTTCCAAGAATATTCGGCCATGAAGCTTTCGGGTAATTTCAGTATATTCCCCTCTCATCTTCTTTGTATCTGTTGTAATTTGTAAAGAGTCTTTGTTTTTAGTTGTAAGAATACTTGATTGATGGTAAGCGTTAATTTGGCTTAATATAATTTTGTGCTGTTGCTGGAACTCACTGTAAACTACTGTATTCTTTTTCCAATCTCTAATTTTCAACATAGATTCAGGGCCAGTACTTGAGCTCATATTTAGTACTCTCTCCATTTCCATTTATATGGCATAGTCGAGCTGAACTTGGCGTTTAAAAAAGAAAGAAAGACTTATGAAACTTGTCGCCTTGAATATGTCATAACATTTGAGTTGAGTGGTTATAAGACTTTTAAAACTTATAGTGTTAATTAAATATGCTATAACATTTTTGTGACTATAAAATCTTGTCATTAAGGGTAAAATGGAAAGTTCAAGTTAACTTTTTTTGTTCATGTGTTATTGACTGAAGGGTTGTAGAGAGTGTTGGAGAAGATGTTCAGGAATTAAAAGAAGGAGATCCAGTTGTCCCAATATTTTTGCCCGATTGTACAGAATGTATAGATTGCACATCCAAGAAGAGCAACGTTTGCTCAAAATTCCAATTTAAGGGCTCTCCGTACATGCCTAGAGATGGCACAAGCAGATTCACTACTGCTGATGGAGAAACTTTATACCATTTCCTGTTTGTATCAAGTTTTGCCGAGTACACTGTTGTTGACATTGCTAACGTAACAAAGATTGATCCTTCTGTTCCACCTAACAGGGCTTGCCTCTTCAGTTGTGGAGTATCAACAGGTTCATTTCCTGCCCGTCTTTCCTTTTCTATATGTAATCCTTTGTTATTTCAGTTTCAACTTCTTAATAGGCACTTAAATAATCATTTGACATTCTTTTCTGTAATTTTCATCAGATGTCTAAAAGGGGACCTATAGTTGGTGAATAAGCTAAAAACAGGTTGTGTAAGCCTGATTACCCCAAAATAGATCCACTTTAACAGACTCATCTATGTAGAATTGCACGGAAAAAAATTGGAGTTGACATTTGTGAAGTGGCACTTTGCTCCATCATATATACCAGTAAATGCCACAAGCAAAAAATAAACTTAGTACCAGATGCTACATTTCTGCTTGAACTTGCTGTCTTTAAGATTTTGAATAATGTCTTGTCTGATATTATGTAAGATGAGCTCAGGACTAGGTGCTGCTTTGAAAACGGCCAATGTGGAACCAGGATCAACAGTAGTAATATTTGGTTTGGGCGCAATTGGATTAGCTGTATGTACCTCTTCCTGCTTCTTCTTACTTACATTGTCATTGGTGTTCGTGTTGGTGAGTTTATATGCTTACACCAGGTCTTATAGGTCGCAGAGGGAGCAAGGATATGTGGTGCTACAAGAATTATCGGTGTAGATATAAACTCTGACAAGTTCGAAATAGGTGAACTATCATTTTCTTCTTCATTCTTTGGTTTGTTTCCTACTAGAAACTTGAGTAATCAATCTGGTGAGAATATCGAATAATATTCTTCTTCCACTTCAACTCAGGAAAGCAATTTGGAGTGACCGATTTTGTCAATTCTAACAGCTTTGGGGATAAACCTATTAGCCAGGTGGGTCTTTATTCGGCCAGATTGATATTTGATCCTCCAAACTTTCATATTTAATGAAGCCAACTGCTGATTTCTTCTTCATTGTTCCTGTGTTTGTGGAAAATATCATTTCTTATTTTGTTCAATGCATGTCATGGTTATGCCATGCCAAATTATCACATTTTCTTTTTCCGTTTTTTTGAGCAGGTGATAAATGAAATGACTAATGGTGGTGCTGACTACTGCTTTGAATGTGTTGGTCTCGGAACAGTTGTGCAGGAAGCATATGCCTGCTGCAGAAAGGTTTCCCCAATAGCTCTTCTACTGAAAACCATTAACATAAGATCAAAGAAAACAAGTTCCATAGAACTACACTTCATTTATATATTGTTATTGTTCCTATACTCTTTTTGCTTTTGCTAACGTAAATCCATATGTAATGATTTTGGCTGTTATATCAGGGTTGGGGAAAGACAATTGTTTTAGGAGTTGATAAACCGGGAGCAGATTTGACCTTTAAATCTTTCGATGTTCTTCATAGTGGGAAAACTCTCATGGGATCATTGTTTGGGGGTCTCAAACCCAAATCTGACATTCCTCTTCTTGTCAAACGTTATCTCGACAAGGTAAAAAAAAATGGGGATGGTTGTGTGTATTCGTCGTTTATTATTGCAACTTGTTTGCATCTTTCCTAGTACCTTTTGCTAACATTTTTGTGTGGGTTTAGGAATTGCAAGTGGACAAGTTTGTGACTCATGAAGTGAGTTTTCAAGACATCAACAAGGCTTTTGATTTACTTGCTCAAGGAAAGAGTCTACGATGTGTTATTTGGATGGATAAGTGATGGATCCTGTTACACTTTTTTAACCTGCATGTTCCCCAACAAGAAGTGCGTTATTGCACCTCAATGGTAGTCATGTACCTCCATTTTATTACCAACATTTATTTCTCTCTATGTTTTTATCGTGCCTTTGGTTTGAAACAAACATAGACATTTCTATTCTGGGGCACAGTTTCTCTGGATATAGATATGATCATTAGATAAGATTTAGCAAACATTACTGTGATTTTACAACATACATCTATGCGATTGAAGCATAATCAGAAATTAAGGGTGAACTATAGCAACATATTAGCCCTTTGCCTTGGCATCAGTGCACCAAACACGGATAAGCAATACCAAATTTAATACTTGTACTCAGCAGTGATGCTCTAGGATGTACAGCTGTATGCTAGCAAAGCTAAGTTAGTGGTGTCACTAGTTAGTTAAGTAGGTTGTTAGCTGTTAGCTTATAGGAAGCCCCTAAATCAAAAATTAAATTACGAAAATATTCATCTAAAATTAATTGACTATTTTGACCTTCATAAAAAAAGAAAAAAAATAATTAAATAAAGAATTTCAGCTACACTATTCAGTATTAATGCCCGAGAGTCCCTTCAAATTCTGTAACATTCACCTTTATGCCCGATAGACTCTTCCACTTCCTACATTAATGGGACTCTTTAATCCAACACTAAATACTAAAGAAACTTATCAAACCACGTTTGAACATTAATCACATAAAAAGGGTAGTCCGGTGCACTAAGCTCTCGTTATGCGCGGGGTCCGAGAAGGGCCGGAACCACAAGGGTTTATTGTACGCATCCTTACCCTGCATTTTTACAAGAGGTTGTTTCCACGGCTTGAACCCGTGACCTCCAGGTCACATGGCAGCAACTTGGTTCTGCTTCACTAAATTAATTCTCTTGTTTATTAGAAGTAAAATAAATGCATTATTCCTTGAGAAAAATTTGCTGAATATACTAACCATGTTGGTTCTTCTTTTCCATTTTTAGGTCGATGTAAGATTGCTTAAATTGGCTATACAATGCATATTTTAAACTAATTATTGTATCATTTTGCGCATTTATTGGAAATTTTTTATTTCCTTTTTGTTCTATGTTTATTATTGTTACTTAATTGACATTTTTTTGTACAAACATCTTATTCTTACATTCTTTCAGAAAATATATATAGTATATACGCAAGAGTTTCAATTTCTATCCATATTTGCTATATGGATAATTATATATTGCACTTTCAAAAAAAATACTAATGTCAATCGGTAAACAAAAAATCTTGTTATGATAGGGCACTCGTTCGTCAGAAGGAAGCATAGTCCAAGAATATCGTCTATAAAAATATATTAGGTGAGATATATGATCATATAACATGATTGTACCTCATAAAATAAAAATTAATATAATTAGAAACATATCTAGCTAACCATATAGAATTGTTTACCTTCACAACTCAAACTCTATCCAATCATTTTGAGCACATAACTATATCATTTTCACCATTCGTTGTTTTCAGCTTGCATTTTTTCTCTTCAATTTCATGTATGATATATGCTTGACATAACTTTTTTAATAATATTTATGTCATTTCAAAAGTTTATACTCATAATATGAAATAGTTAAATAGTTATTAAATTATTAAAATTAAAATTAAATTAAAATATTTAAAAAGTGGGAGCACCCTAAGTCAAAAGTTAATTTACAAGAATATCCTTCAAAAGGTGAATGGCCATTTTGTCCTTGAGAAAAAACAATTACCTTCTCATAAACTAAAAAGTCATTTATCCGTTTCTCATTTTTGAATTTTCCTAATTTATTTACTATTTAGCTTATCTAAAAAATTCTAGAAGTGCCTCAATAAATGTTAACTCGAAGATCTGCGAGCTATGGCAGAGAAGAAGGGATGAAAACCCTAGAATGGATGAAGAGAAAGAGAGAGAGAAAAGGGTCTGTCGAAAGAGATACTTGATGTATTAAATTTTCATACTGTTCTGTATATTACAAAAAGATCTATTAATAAACCTATGAAGACTAATAAAGAATACAATTGGGCTAGGCCGGGTATGTTGGACCCTGCTATTGGGCCAACCCTTTTCCTTTATCAGTGCTAACACCCCCCCTCAAGCTGGAGAGTGAACACACACCAAGATTGCCAAGAATGTTATGATGAAGTTGTCCACACAAAGCCTTTGTCATGATGTCAGCTAACTGGTTGGCACTGGAAATAAAATGTAGAGAAATTAGTCCAGAATTCAAGCATTCACGAACATAATGGCAGTCAATCTCAATATGCTTAGTACGTTCATGAAAAACTGGATTTTTGGCAATATGAAGAGCAGCCTGGCTGTCACAATAGATTTGAACAACAATAGATTTGAACATGACTGTTAATAGATAGTCCAAGATCCCTAAGAAGTCTAAACAACCAAGATATCTCAGCAACCACTTTTCTGAGGGCCCTGTACTCAGCTTCAGCTGAAGATAAAGAAATAGTGGGCTACTTCTTACTTTTTCAAGAGATGGGACTGTCACCAAGAGTCACATAAAACCCAGTAACACTCTTTCGAGAGATGGCAGAAGAGGCCCAATCAGAATCAGAATAGCCAGCAAGAGAATAATCAGAAGAATTGGAGAGAAGAACTCCCTGAGAAGGATCATTCATGAGATAGCAAAGAACATGTAGGCCAGCCAACATGTGAGGGGCCTGAGGTTGCTGAAGAAATTGACTCAGGTGCTGGACAAAGAAAGATATATCAGGCCTTGTATGTTGTAAAAAATTGAGTTTCCCAATAAGTCTTCTGTAAAGACTAGGATCATGAAGAGGATCCCCCATGTCCAAAGTGAGCTTAACAGAAGGATCTAGAGGAGTCACAACTGGAGAGAAATGATGACAATTGAACTCAGTGAAGAGATCGGATGTATACTTGTGTTGGCTCATGAGATAGCCTTGAGGATGAGTAGTGATTTCCAGCCCCAAGAAGTAATGTACTAACCCCAAATCCTTAATCTTAAATTGATCATCCAAATAGGATTTCAAAGAGTTCATTTCAGTGAGGTCATCTTCAGCCAAAAGTATGTCATCAACATATACTGCCAGAACCACTAGAGAACCAGAAGAAGACTTGGTGAAGAGGGAGTAATCATTCAGACTTGAAATGTAGCCTCTAGAGAGCAAAGCTTCAGACAGTTTTGAAAACCATTGTCTGGAGGCTTGCCTAAGGCCATATAATAATTTCTTGAGTTTGCAAACCAAAGGAATGGAAGAGGAAGAAGAATTGACATAAATACCTGGAGGTATCTTCATATAAACCTCCTCATGTAGATCACCATGGAGGAATGCATTGTTAACATTCAACTGGAACACATTCCATCCTCTCTTGATGGCAAGAGTCAGCAGTCACTTGATGGTGGTGAGCTTGATAACATGGGAAAAAGTCTTTGTGAAGTCAATGCCTTCCCTCTGAGTGTCACCACCCCTAATAACCAACCTGGCCTTGTATCTCTCAACAGATCCATCTGCCATTTGTTTGATCTTATAGACCCACTTACAAGGAATAACCTTTTTATGAGGAAGGGGAACAATGTCCCAAGTATGGTTTGCTTCAAGAGCATTGAATTCCTTTAGCACAGCTTCCTGCCAGGCAGGATGAGAGGCAGTCTGCTGGTAGAATTAAGGCTCATGCATGTGTGCTTCACTAGGCAGAACCTTAGAAGGAGTAGAAGTAGAAGGGTTGGAGTTGGCAGAAGAACATACATAATCTTTGAGATAAACAGATTGTGTAACAGTTCTGGTGGATTTTTTAAAGGAGGGGAAGCAGGTGTAGGAGTGGATGTAGGAGGAATAGCAGGAGAGGTGAGTGGAGCAGAAGTTGAAAGAGGAATGACAACAGAAAGGGGAATGGGAGAAGAGGAAACAAGGTGAGAAAGGATGACAGGTAGAGAAGATGGGATGTCCACAAATGGTGAAGGCAAAACAGAAGAAAGAGAAGGTGGGGAAGAGGAAGAATAAGGGAAAATGTGTTCATGGAATATTACATCCCTAGAGTAGAACACTGAGGAATTGGGCATGTTCAACAACTTATAACCCTTCTTACCACAAGGGTAACCTAGGAAGATATAAGAAATAGCTCTAGATTGAAACTTATTTCTACCAGCCTTAGGAGAGGTGGCAAAGCACATACAACCAAAAGACCTCAAGTAGTCATAAGATTGTGTACATCCATGCAACTTTTCATAAGGAGAAACTTTGAGCAAAAGAGGTGAAGGCATCCTATTTATAAGATAAATGACAGTCAAAACACAGTCACTCCAAAATGTCAGTGGTAGTTTAGATTGGAACAAAAGGGCTCTTGAAACTTCTAATAAATGTTTGTATTTTCTATCCACAACACCATTTTGTTGTGGAGTATGTGAAATGGTAGTTTGGTGTAATATACCTTGAGAAGCAAATAAGGTGGCAGCCTCAACACTACTGCCAAGTTCAAAAGCATGGTCTGATCTGAAAGTGTGAACTGAAGAATTAAAGTGTACTTTTACCATAGAAGTGAAAGCTTTTAAGATAGATAAGGCATTGCTTTTGGAAGAAAGGAGGTGAGTCCAAGTGACTCTAGAGTAATCATCAACTAAGGTGAGAAAATATTTGAAGCCATTGTAAGTTTTAGTATTATATGGGCCCCAAATATCAATGTGAACTAGCTGAAAAGGTTTAGTGGAATGAATTGTGCTATCATGAAAAGGCAGCCTTTGTTGTCTAGCCATAGGACATATAGGACATAAAATTTTGTTTGCTGGATACTTTATCAGATAAGAAAGGAATAGATTGCATTTTATGAAAGGGCATATGACCTAGTCTTTGATGTCAAAACAAATCCATCTTATTGACAACAGAAGTCTAATTACATTTAGGTGAAAGAGGTACATACTGAGAAATTGATGCAGGCTTATTACAAATAATAGAACCTATAGTAAAACTAGAATTTATACAAGGAGTAGTAGCATGGGATGACAAAGCAGGGGTTGAAGTGGGAAACAAGTCTGCATCTGGATGTAGGTAGTAGAGTCTTCCAGCAGCCTTACCAATTACCAGTGACCTCTTCAGAGAAGGGCCCTGTAAAGAACAATGGAACTTGGTAAGTACTGCTATACAGTTAAGTTGGGTAATGAGTTGATGTATGGATATTAAGTTGAAATGGAAAGAAGGTACACGAAGTACATTGAGAAGGGTTATATCATGTCTCGGGTGCAAGGACCCAGTTGTTATAACCTTTACTTTATAACCATTTGGTAAGGTAACAAGGAAAGGTTTAACTAAAGGAATAATATCATGAAGTAAATGTTTGTGTGGAGTCATGTGATTAGTGGCCCCTGAATCTAAGATCCAAGGATCCCCATTAGCATGTGATGATGCACACACATGAGAGTCTACAGATTCTACAGCATAGGCAGTAAACAAACCTGCAAAATAAGCAAAAAACCAGAGTCCTCAATAGAAGGATTGTTGGAAACAGCACCAGGAGAGACTTGAACTTATTGAAACATAGTCAAGGGGTGCTGATATTGTTCTTTGGTAAAGCCATGAATTGGAGAAGAATTCCCTGGAAGCTGATTGATAGAAGGAGATAACTGAGGATGAGGTATGTCACCTTGGACACAAGATACAGACTTCTTGTTCTTTGTGAACTTGAACTCAAGGGGAAACCCATGAAGTCTGTAATATTTTTTCACTGTGTGTCCAGGTTTCTTATAATATTTGCAAGAAACACCACTGACATTCTTTCTGGATTCAAAATTTACCCTTTGAGTGAAATTTCTGGTGTTGGCTGATTGAGCAGTTGACACAGAAAAAGAAGCAGAATCACCAGAGAAGTTAAAAACATTGGAGAGAGCTTCCTTTTGACGCTCATCCTGTTGTAATAAGGAATAAGCCTTGCTTATTGGAGGGAGAGGATTCATCATCATGATGGCACTTTTCAGAGTGGAGTAAGACTCATTCAGACCATTGAGGAACTAGAATAATTGTTGATCCTCTATGAACTTTGGAAGAGCTCCACATGAACAGACAAGACCCACATAAGAGGAATTTAACTCATCCCATAGACTCCTAAACTTGGTGAAGTATGTGGAAATATCAGAAGACCCTTGAGTAGTTGTGCTAATCCTTTTTTGAATTTGGAGATATTTGAATCCATTTGATTGACCAAATCTATCGTTAATGTCTTTCCAGACTTTCCTTGCAGTCTTAAGACACATGACACTGGTTGCAATATCCCTAGACACAAAGTTAGTGATCCATGCCTTGACCATGTCATTGCACCTCTCCTAGTATGGATAATATGGGGAGTCCGGTGAGGGTTGGGGAACTCTACCATCTAAAAGCCCTAACCTGTTCTTTGCAGATACAGAAGTAAGCATGCTACTTCTCCAAAACACAAAACCACACCCATTGAAAGGTACAACTACCAATTGACTACCAAGACTATCAGAAGGGTGTACGTACATGGATGAGATGGATCCAGTGTAAAAGGTGTGAAACCATCAGAACCTGTGCTACTAGGTGATGAAACATTATCCATAATGCTACCCATAGGATGAAACTTAACTGGATTGAATCAGAACAACACAAACAGTAATATCTATAACATAGCAAAAGAGGTAGCTTTCTGAACATATGCTAGAACATGCAACCAAAAACTAAGCAATTTTATAGTCGAAAGTGAGAAGGATATTACCATCATTCTTCTGAAACTCGAAGAAGAAGAGTCTTCTCTGAAGTATAAACCATAGAAAACCAGATTTAACCAAATCAAGTACAGAGCCTGAGAAAATCCGAGATGTTCGGCATCATGAGAGTACTAGCAGTCGTCAGGTGATGAAATCCCCAAAAATTACCGGTGGAAAATGTTGTTCGACATTTTCGTCGTTCTGGGTCAATCAAAAATCGAAACGATGAAAAACTCAGAGAGGGTAACATCGGAGTGAAACTTGTGATGAGAGGAATCAAAATTCCCACTTTGATACCATGTTAACTCGAAGATCTGCGAGCTATGGTAGAGAAAAAGGGATGAAAACCCTAGAATGGATGAAGAGAGAGAGAGAGAGAAAAGGGTATGTCGAAAGAGACCCTTGATGTATTAATTTTCCATTATGTTCTGTATATTACAAAAAGATCTATTAATAAACCTATGAAAACTAATAAAGAATACAATTAGGCCGGGCCGGGTATGTTGGACCCTACTATTGGGCCAGCCCTTTTCCTTTATCAGTGCTAACAATAAATTACACAATTAAAGGAGAAAAATAAAAAGACTTACGTTTCAAAACTTTTCATGCTCCATGAACTATTGATTTTTTAAACTTCTTAATTTTCTCATATAAATGAAGAGCCAAGGTAATCATAGTTTGCAAATTAAAGTATATTGGGACACTGAATAATGTTAGACAAATTATAGCAGAAGGTAAAGCCTTGAGCTAAGATCCGCCTTCAAGAAATGCGGTTTCAAATTCGTAAATCTGAAAATTTTATTTAGCTTATATAAGCAAGCAGTAGCACAGTATAACTTCTTTTTGGTTGTAGAGCTTCTGTTTCTGTTTGATTCCTTCTTTTTTTTTTTCCCTTCTATTTATTTATTTATGAATCATTTCGTTTGATTATTATTTATTCCTTTTTTTTTTAATTTATTATGATTTAAACTGGTTGGACATACAGTTCTATGTTAACTATTTGTGAATTTAACCATATGTTTATTCAAAGCTCCTTATGTTATTGTTGTTGACTTTTTCATATTTTAGCGGTTATTACGGTCATATTTTTCTGTTGAGCTAGAAGTAGAAATGAATTTTGGCATTCGGGAATTTTGTCTCAATTAGTGTTAAACTAAGGTGGCTTCTTCATGTACATTTGCTTGTATATGCTGTAATTTTGTAAAGTGTGATTGATGCTAATTTAAATCTTATCCTGATAAATATTTTATTTTGCTCTTGTTTGGTAATGTTGTTATTGGCTTGCAGTGAACATACTTTAATGACAGGTATCAGAAATTTAGCGTTTGGTGTAAAATATTTGGGTTGCAACATATTGAAGGTATTTAGATTATCTGGAAATTAAAGGGAGTACTTTTTGAATTGTTAATTTGTATGATATTTCTTTTTTGCATTATTCTTTAATTTAAGCAATACCTACCTCATTATTTTTCTTTTCTCTCATTTATTTCCTTTGGTTGGTTTAACTACGTGTATTAGTTGGTGTCTTTATGATTTGTAGTACATAGCTAAACTTAAAAAAGTTACTTCTCTAGGGTGTTAAAATTTTTACAAAGTGGTAATACATAAAACAATGAACAACTGATATGCGAAACGAAACATATAAGAATTATGCCATACCTTACTTACCCAATTAACTGCCTTTAGTTCTTTCTAAATGTTATTATTTATTCTTTGGAATGGAGTTATGATCACTTGCTATTTAGGCTTAATTTGGTGTATAATCCTTCTAACAGATTTCGATTATTGCAGAGCATTCAAAAT